CCATTTTTCATGCTCTGGTGGCGTAGTGCCTAAGGCACTTGACTGCTAACTAGATGGTTGGCGGTTCAGACTCAAACCAGCCGCTTCTCAGAAGGAGAATTGGACAATCTACTTCCATAGAGATACTGCCTTGGAGACCCAAGGAGGGGTTGCTACGAGTCAGAGATTACTCGACTGCACATAATAACAATCGCAGCCAATTTTTCAATTGGATTGTTCATCTTTTGTTGTTGAGATGTTGGAGCTTTCCACAAACCATAGAGATAAGTCCCTTATCAGATATGTAATTATTCACAACTATGAATTTGTTGCTGTCATTTTGTTATGTGCTTTTTCGTGGTGTTGACTTCTTTGTTCCATATAATTTTCTGTGCTGAGCTCGTTTTGTTTATGAATCGCATTATCACTTCCTTCATTGCTTTTGTTTTAATATTTGCTAAATATTTGTGCTTGTCCTCTTTTTGATTTTAATGTGAAGGTTTATCATTTTTCCTTGAGGTTACCTTGTGATTTATAATTTTCTTCCCGAGTTAAGAACAGTCTGTTCTATCTTGTAGTTGTGTTGACTTCCCTACCATTTAGAAGTTATGTAACTGCACATTTTTCTCCCCTCTTTTTGGTTTGTAGTTGCCCTCATTAATTGATGTCTCTGGTTCCTTGTTTACTGTCTTATAGGCTTCCTTACTTTGGATGCTTCCATAGCTGGGTTGGTTTCTGGATTATATTATCGTGTGTGTTAATGGTCATTTGTTGTTGACTATTGTTGTTTCTCTGTCCAAAGGACTCCCTTTAGCATCTCTTATTAGGTTTATCTGGTTTTAACAAATTCCCTTAGTTTCTGCTTATCTGGAAATCTCCTAATTTCACCATCATATTTGAGGGACAGTTTGGCTGGGTACATAATGCTTGGTTGGAAATTTTTCTCTTTCAGTGTTTTATATATACCATCCCATTGTCTTCTCACCTGCATGGTTTCTATCGAGAAATCCGAGCTTAGTCTTATTGGTTGCCCCTTGTAGGTAACTTTTCATTTTTCCCCTGCTGTTTTCAGGATTCTTTGTCTTTGGTTTTGATGAGTTTGATGATGATATATCTTAGTGATTTTCTCTTGGGGTCTATCCTATTTGGGGTTCTTTGGACTTCCTGAATGGATATAGTCTCATCTTTCATCATACCAGGAAAATTACCTTTTAATAAAATCTCTGACAATTTTCTCAGTGGTTTTCTTTTTCTCTTCTTGTTCTGGAATTCCAGTTTTTTGGGAATTCCTTTTGATGGTATCCCACATGAACTTTAGGCTTTCTTCATTTTGTTTTGAACTTTTTTCTGATTGATCCCTTTACAAGGAAGTATTAAGGTATTTGCCTTCAGTCTCATTAATTCTGTCTTCCATTGATTGAATTCTACTCCTTTTCCCATTCAATGTATTACCTGTTTCTGAAAATTTAATATTAATCTTCTGGATATCTGTCTTTGCATTTTGTATCATTTCTACGTTTTCATTTATTTTGTCATTTTGTTCTTATATTGTCTGTCAACATTATTCTTGGGTTTTCTGTGTATTTTCCTCCATCTTGACAGTGTTTTCCTTGATGTGTTTCTCAATTCATTGACGGTACCTATGTAGAGATCTTTTCAATTCCTTATCAGGGAGTTCCAATGGTGCATCTTCCTCAAGGATGTGTTTTGGATCTGTATCCTGGTCCCTTGTTTCTCCTGGTTTTTCTTGCTTCTTTGTGTGGACTGTGATGCTCTGTTGTCTCTGAGGCATCGTGACTTTTTATGTTTGTATTTAATTGGTGATTGTATGTTGGAGTGACTTGCTCATGATTTTTGTTTTCTTTGGATGTTATCTACATAAGCAAAGTACTGTGCTGTGCTTCTCTATTCGTTAATTGGCAGTACTTATATACTTACCACTTGTTTCCTTTCCCATCATCAGCCTCCCATTTGTCCCTGCCGCCCTTGGCAAACAGAGCCTATGCTTAGGTCCTGTTTTAATTCCACTAGTTGGTGCCTCATCCACTTTTATATACTTCCTTTCAAAGTTCAGAGCGCCAGGATTATTTTCTGTATCCCAGACAATTGGTTTCTCTTTTCTTTGTTGAAAAGGGTCTGTGTAGCTTGTCTGCCTATTCCGCCATCTCACTGGAAATCAGCATCTGATTTCTTGACTGTTGCTTCTGTGGGTATCGATTGTAGATCCAAGTAAAATGAAATCCTTAACAGCTTCAATCTTTTTTTGTATATTGTGATATTGTGAGGGTTTTTGTTTTCTTTGTGTTGAGGTATAACCTATACTGAGGGCTGTAGTCTTTGATCTTCATTAGTAAGTACTTTGAATCATCTTTACTTTCAGCAAGCAAGGTTGTGTCATCTGCATATCGTGGATTGTCATTGAATCTTCATGTAATCTTGATGCCATGTTCTTCTCCATAGAGTTCAGCTTCTTGAGTATTTGCTCAGCATACAGATTGAATAAGTGTAGTGAAGGGATACAACCGCAGCACCCAGCTTTTCTCATTTTAAACCATGTAGCATCCTCGTGTTGTGTTCAAATGACAGCCTCTTGATCTATGTATAGGCTTCTCATGAGCATAATTAAGTTTTCTGGAATTCCCATTCTTCCCAATGTTATTCATAATTCATTATGATTCATGCAGTTGAATGTCTTTGTGTAGTCAATAAAACACATGTAAACATCTCTCTGGTATTCTTTGCTTTCAGCCAAGATCTATTTGATATCAGCAATGATATCCCTTGTTCCATGTCCTCTTCTGAATCCAGCTTGCATTTCTGGAAGTTGCCTATCAATATACTGCTTCCAACCATTTTTTAATTATTGTGAGCAAAATTGTATTAATGGTATTGTTCAATAATTGCCACATTCTGTTAGATCACTCTTTTTTAGAATGGGCACAAATAGTGATATCTTCCAATTGGTTGCCCAGGCCGCTATCTTCCAAATGGCATAAACGAGTAAGTCCCCCCAGCACTGCATCCATTTGTTGAAACATCTCAGTGGATATTTTGTCAATTCCTGGGGAGCCTTGTTTTTCACAAATTCCTTCAATGCAGCTTGAACATCTTCCTTCGATACCATTTGTTCTGTTTTTTATCCTGCCTTCTGAAGTGGTTGAACGTCAACCAATTCTTTTTGAAACGGTGACTTTATATTCTTCCATCTTCTTTTGATACTTCCTGATTGTTCAGTACTTTGCCCGTAGAATCCCTTAATAATGCAGTTTGAGGCTGTATTTTTCCTTCAATTCTTATAGCTTGAGAAATCCTGAATGTATTCTTCCATTTTGGTTTTCTAACTCCATATCTTTGCACATTTCATTATAGTTCTTTATTTTGTCTTCTTGAGCGCCCTTTCACGTTTTCTGTTCAAGTCTTTTATTTCATTGTTTCTTCCATTCACTTTAGCTGTTTTCCATTCAGAGCAAGTATTAGAGTCTGAATGCTGGATTAAGCAAAGTTAAATCAGGTTCTCTATTTTTGGTCTTCTTAGAGCCTCTAATATATTATTAGATATAACTGTATATTGTTAATCTTTGGGGGAGGGATAGTATGAAACATTTCCTAAAATTACTTGACCATAGAATTATTTTTTTCCTTAGAACATCTCTTGGGACTAGTGTCCTGTAGAGCTAAACATGAGAAATGCTGCTGCTGCCGTCGGATTCTGTTTAAAATTAAATTTAATATGAAAAGCTTTCTGCTTGACTTTAATTTATGACTTGGAATGAGAATAGTTTTATGACATAAAATATAATTTTTATAGACAATAGAAGATATAAAAATTATTGTTATTATCATATATATGTATGTGTTTATTTTATAATTTGGTAACTACACAAACTGACTATTCTGAGGAAAGATTAGATAATAAACACATATGCCAGTACATAAATTTAGAGGCTGTCCAGTGTTGCGTTTTATTAAGGTTCAGATCTGTTTCTTAAGACTTCTCTGTGGAAGTCCTGACCCTGTAGTTCTATTAATCTATTAAATTCTAGGAAAGTATTTTTCACACCAAAACTTTATTTTATAAGATTATCCTAAATTTAATTTTGTCTTTTCATTTTGTTATGTAATGGGTATTATTTTGTACTACTGTGTTATTTTGTCTTGTACCTAATTTTCATGTTTGTAGATGTCTATTTCTAAAATTTGGAAATCAAGGTAATGTCCTTTCAAAGATAGTCATTTCATATCATACCATCTAATGTTCTTCCTCATGTGGGCATATCATATATTATTCTCTTCTTATTTTTATTATGGTAAAAATGTATGAAACAAAATATTTACCAATTCAACACTTTTTTACATATGTAATTAATTAGATAACTTTGATTTCATCATATTATTTGCAACCATTTTATTGTCTAATGTTTAAGATAAATATTCTCATAACATTGTACTGTGTGAATACTTAAAATTAATAAAGTGATTGCTACAATACAGTCACTCCTCGGAAGGAAGGTTGGGCAATCCTACTTCCGTAGTGATACTGCCTTGGAAACCCAAGGAGGGGTCGCTATGAGTCGGGGCCGACTCGACGGCACATAACAACAACAACAACAACAACACAATATAGGAAAGCATCCTTGTGTAACCACCACTGTCCTTACTTGACAGTAGAGAAATTAGCAACCTATTTTTGAGCCTAAAAATTATTTTTGTAATTGAACTGATTTTGTGTACTCTAGAAATCTGAGAACCAATAGTATAAGGAGCCTTTCTTTACCAGTCTTTCATAGTTCATAAAGACTTTTAAAAACAATTTTTGTGCTTAGTATTACATTTAAAGTAAGGAACATATTGTTGAAGTGGATTTGTCATTTTCTCCATAGTTAATTGAAGAAGATTAGTAATTGGATCTTTTCATTTTTACTCAGAAGTGAAATCTTCTTATAACCAAATTGTTGTTTGAGAAAAACTATTATAATAAAAATTTTTATAATAGCCTCCCTCTTTTGATTAACTTTTCCTAGGGCTCACACATCTCATTGGATCACCTTTTCTCCGGGCATATATGCATGGATTTTTCATGGATATAAGACTGTATCACAAGGTAAATACAAAACTGCAGTTATTGTAGGTGATTATTGAGCGATCTATAGCTATTTCTTTGTTTGTTACTTATGTTTTCATAATGTATACTTAGGATTTTTAAGAAGTCTGTGTATTCTTTGGTGTAGTTGTCATGGTGGATAAGAAACGTGGTGCTAAATAGGATTCTTTCTTTATTTTCCCTTTGAAAAGGTGAAACTGATGGTAAATCCCTTTGCATATGAAGAATATAGGAAAGACAAAATTCGACAGAAGATAGAAGAAACACGTGCACAGAGAGTTCAACTAAAGGTAAATATTGGGGTCATCATTGAATTTACCAGAGAAAATGTACTTAATTTTTATTTTGTGTATTATACCAAAGAAATCAGCCATCCTCTTCTTAGTTTTCCATCCTTAATTTATGAATACTTATGATATATTTTATTTCTCATAAGGGTAAATACTCTTTAGTTTTATCATTACGAACTCTACAGTGTTGTGTGGAAAAATGCCAGATAGGTATTGTCAGCTCTAAGAAAATCTGATTGTGTTTTTAAAAGGGTTTTTAGTTTTGGGAGAATTGAGGCTTTGTAATATACATTTCTGGCTGAAATTTAGTAGTATCTTATGCTTTCTATTTGGATTGTGGGAAAAAGTCATTAGATGTCAGGCTCTAGTCAGGAAATAGAAACCCTATAAGCTATTTTAATAGAGAAAATTTAATGTAAAGAATTTTTAACAGGTAGTAAACTATAAAGGCAAAAACATGAAGGTATCAGTAAGCAAAGTAATAACTGCAAGAAGCACATTTCACTCCAAGTCTGGAGAATGAACAGAGGCAGGCCCTGAGGAGCTGGTACTGGGGCCCTTGAGGCTTAATGGAATGTTGTTCTTTGGAATGTTGCACAGCTACACTAGAATCATCTGCTGTTGCTGGGACTATCTGTAGTAGCCAGGGGCAAAGAACTGTTACACAAAGCCAACACAAATGGGAATCAGACATCAAAGAGCAAGTCCTGACTCCCTCTTCCTGCCTTCCAGTTTCTCTCTGCTACCCCTTGTTGATTATATTTAATCACCAAATGATGCAGATATTTTTAGTTTAATGTTGGTTAAGAAAATTGTGTGTGTGTTTGTGTATAAGTGTATGTATACACACACACACATATACACATATACACACACACACACTATTTCAGTAAAAAATCTAGTGGCTGTTTTCTAAAATTATCTCAATACTTTTTCTTTTTTCTGCTTACTTTGTTAACATTTTTAAAGAGTGATGAGTTTATGTATTTTGTCAAGGGCAGACTGAGCTAAGAGTATTTTTTCCCTAGCTGTTTATTATGTTAAAATTCTCAGATGCACATCTAGAATTCCCTTTGGAAATTTGCCATCTGGGAAACAGGAAACAGTACAACTGATCCTCAAGTACCATTTTAGCAGTTTCCTGCAATTCCAGCCATGGCTATAGTACCTAGCCCACTGGCCTCTTGATCAGTAGTGGATCATGGGCCCTTTATTGTTCATCTATAAGCTGCCAAATACAGCTTCTCCAAGTTTGCTTCTAGTATGCTGGAAAAAGATGTGGATGAAGGCAAGTCCTTTCAGCACCAAGCTCATGTTGCTATTTCTGTACCATTTGGCCCACCTGAAAACACTGATATGCCTAAATTATTTCCTACTCTGGGGATAATGAAATTTTAAAATAATAGTTTAATGTCTTCCATTTGTACAGTTATACTTCTTACAGAACTATTAACCTTTAAAACTATGACATAGATACCTTAGGATAGTTTTGTTTTTTGTTTTTTTTTTGTCCTTGTTTTTCTACTAGAAATTGCCAAAAGTTAACAAAGAATTGGCACTTAAGTTGATTGAGGAAGAGGAGGAGAAGCAGAAATCTGTGTGGAAAAAGAAAGTTAAGGTAAGATTTTATAAAACAAAATATTTCTACACGTTCTTGATAACACCATGTATCTTTTTGATTGAGGGACTGTAGTGGCACAGTTGTAGAATTCTCACCTTCCATGCGGGGAACCTGGCTTCAATTTTTAGCCAGTGCACCTTGTTGGTAGCCACTACCCATCTGTCGGTGGAGGTTCATGTGTGGCTATAATGCTGAAACCTGATCCAAGTTTCAGCAGAGTTTTCAGACTCTGACAGACTAGAAAGAAAGGTCTGGCAAAATCTAGTTCCAGAAATTAGCCAGTAAACCCTGTGGATCACAAAGATCCAGTCCATAGCTGATCATGGGAGTGGCTCAGGATCAGACAACATTTCATTCTTTTGTAGATGGGGTCAGCATGAGTCGAGAGTTACTATGAGTCAGTGGTCACAATGCTTCTTTTAGCTGATATTGTCATCTTTAACCTCTATACCACCAGAGCTCCTAATATCTCTTTAGTACACTGTAACTCATAAGTTAGAAATAAATACAGTGTTTCATTTCTTTATAAGAAACAAAAAGTAGTTTGGGTAGTGCTTGTCTTCTTCTCATTGTATAACTTATGATACCGACCAAGTGTCTTGTCTTTGCCTCAACGAATTGTCATACTCCTAAGTTTGGATGAGCATCCAACATTTTATCTTTTGCCCTTATTCAACTTACAACTTTTCTGGGGCATTTTCCTCCTCCTTATCACAGCCAATTTCCTCATTTACATCTGTAAGTTCCTCTGGCTGCACATCTCAAGTCCTTCATCTCACAGACAGCTGTTTCTTTATAGTCTATTCTAATTTTCTTTTCTATGTTATACTTTCATCTTTGTTGGCCAGTTGTCTTTTAGTTACCTTTTTTGTAAAATGTCACATGGGTTCATCATTGTGAATCAAGAAGGTAACACAACCACTACATGGTTTCCTATCTGGGTATGAACAGAGTAACAAATGCATAGTGAACAGTCACCAGCAGACTTTGAAAGAAGCAATGTGATTGGCCACTGATCATGATGCACATCTACATCTACAAAGGGATTTGTGGACTGAAGAGCTACCAGCAAAGTTTCTACTTTATGCAAATACTCACAGTTAATATACCATGGTAACTAAAATTTAAACTGTGTTGTTTGGGGACTGATGTTACTTAACTTACTCAGGGTGGCAACTTTTACTCCTATTGGAACTGTGCAAAGCAAGGAGTTTCTGTATATTATCACTAATCAAATCTATGTTTCACTGACATTTATGCTGGTACAAATTCTCTAAAGAACAATCAAGATAGTATTTATTTCAGAACCTATGTGTGGGTCGGCCTGCTATGGCTATCTGTTGTTTCTAGTGTAAGTGTAATGAGGAAGAACCTTAGTAATTCTTACCTTCTTTCATCAGATAGTAGTTTCTCTCCAGCAGTTTGAAGCTGGAGGTACCATCTTTTCAGCTATCTCCCTGATAACAAAATTCTGCAATTAAATTCTTCTACAAAATGGTGTTTGTAAAATTTATCATAAATTTGCTTTTTGGTGGCTTGCTGACCCAAATCAGGTCCAACTATCAGAGCTCATTTTCATTCCAGAAGTATTTGTATACGGTCTTTTAAAAATCCAAGGCTGTTCTTACAAAAAACTTACATGATTTTGTTGTTTAATAGTTTTATCTAATGTAAAATGAAGACCTTAAAAATCATTCACAAATTAAGGAAAGAATCCTTCATGATAATTGTAAAGAAGACATAGAAGAATTGTTATATTCATTAGTAGGTCATTAGTCTTGGCCTTTGAAGTCTGCTCTTTAAAACCTCAAGAGCTTTAATAGCTCTGATATCTCCTGATTTGAAAGTCAGCATCTTGCAGTTAGGTTTTGCTTTGGCTCCAACTGAAATTTAATGGAGACAGGCAGTGAAATGTCTTCCCAAATATTGCTACCACTGATAGCATAATAAAAAGCAAGATAAGATGTTTATAGTACAGATGATGTTGAGCCTATAATGGGAAAAGACCTGCCGCATGATCTCAGTAAGCATTATCTTCTGGTGGATATTATTCAACTTACAAATTTGGTGGTATTAATTCTAATAATAATTTATTTATTCTTTCAACAAGCATATATTGAGCCCCCTGTCAGCATAAGAATCTGAGCGGTGTGGGCATCAGTGTGATCCATTTGATTTGTAATGGCTTGATTTTTGGTTAGAGCCATTTTTCCTACAAGTGTCATGTTTTTGCCTTTTCTGCCAATTTTTAAATTTATGAATATCAGATCAGAAGACTAGCTGACAGTATTGCTGTAAAGTCTTGTATGAATATATTTGTCTTGGTTTCTGGAGTAGCTCTGTCAGGGATTTTGCCATGTATGATGTATCTTAGCCATGGGTATTTTGTGACTAGTAAACTATGGAAAACATCTTAATCATCTCAGGAGTTATTCAGTACCATTAGGAATTTAGGTTAAAGTAATAATTCATCTCTCAAACCAAACCAAACTCACTGCCATTGAATCATTTCCAACTTATTGTGACCCCCATTGGGTTTCCAAGGATGTAAATCTTTAACAGAAGCAGACCATCTCATCTTTCTTCCTCAGAGTGGCTGTAGGGTTTGAAGCACTGACCTTTTGGTTAGCAGCCAAATGCCTTAACCACTACACGACCAGAACTCCTTAGTTCATCGCTATAGGGAAGAAAATAATTATGCATTGATGGTTTGGCTTGGATCAAATCAGTTGTAACATCCATGATTGTTTTTTAAACAATAGCTTAAATTTTTTTTATTTGCTTTTACATTTTTACTTTAATTACACATACACATAGTTTTCCAGGGTTTGTTAGGAACACAAGCTATCTTATTGTCCTTTTTTTTCCACCTCTTATTTTCACTTCTCCCAAAACAACGACTTTTGCCTTTTTAGCTGATTATTTTGATATAAAACACTATGTTTATAGTGCTGCTTCTTGACTTTTTAGTGTTAGGTGTTATCTTTGGATAGCCCCATATGGAAAATAAGAATTCAGCTCTCAAGACATGTACTCTTCCCATCCCTACACCCTCACTCCCAATAAGGTTATATTGTAGTTTTTGTTAAATCATTTTTCATCATTTCCACTGTCATGACTGTGTAAATGCTGTTTCTAGCCTCATCAAGAGTTATGTAGTATGCAAGGTTACGTTTCCTACACTCTTCCCTGAAGTTGTCTTTTTTGTTTTCTATTTAGTTATCACTGAACTCCCAATTCTTTGCCAGTTTCCTAAATCTATTTAAGATATTTATATAGATTAGATGTGATATTAATTTTTACCTTCCTAAGAAGCCTCTCCTAGGTCTTCCTGCACCATTCTGGAGTAATTAAATGCTAATCCTGGTATGTAGTCATCATCCTGGGATTTCCCTTTACCATCATCCTGATCATTCTCTCTGCCTCACCCTGCATTAGTAAAGAACTAGAAGAACCTTCAGTTTTTTGCAGTTTTCAGACAAGTAATAGTCATTCAGTGTGAGGGTATAGTAAAAAATATTTTCAAACATGTAAATTCTTAAAACAAAAAATTACCCTTACACTCTGCTTTTTTTCAGGAAGTTACTAGAGAACTGATTCTTTAAAATAAGAGAGTAAACCAGGAAAGAGGAAGAGTCCAAGGGAATCTTGAACTGGATGATTATGTGCCATGTCCATTTTCAGTCAGAAATCTAACCAGTAATGCTGGCTACTTGGTGGGCCCTTTCAGTCTAGAGACTCACGTTCTTTAGTGCTGGGACATTTTCTTGGGGAAAAAAAGTTTTAAATAAATTTCCTCTGCTGCCTTGATTATTCATGTTTTAGAGAGATTTAAAAAGCTGAATGGAAACTCCAAAATATGGGCAAGGTTCGTTAGTCATTGGGTGGTGATTTGGCCAAACTTTATTTTGTGAAGTTCCAAATATCAGTATCGTTTAGATCTTTTTCTTGATTGGCCAGATTCTCCTGCATGGAGGACAGAGGCCTGACTACCAGCATTCTGGGAACCGTAGGTCAAGAATGTGGGGTCTGGGGCCCAATGGTATCTCATTATCTAATATGGAAGCATTCATTTCATCTTCTTGTTCTCACTATGCTGGTGTCTCCCACCTCCAGATATATCTTTTATTTATTCCAGAAAATAAACAGCTTTGTGAAGTTGGAGATGGGATTTTAAATAGACTTTCTATCCTTTTTTGCTTTCAGAATTTTACTGCTCTTGTTTTCTTTCCCGTCCTCATTCTTAAGAGTTTATATCTTTTTCCCTAAATCTTTTTTCTGTTATGTCAGTGTTTCAGGAGATGCTTTACTTAGAAATCCAAACCAACTTAATTTCATAGATATCATAGCATTGAAAGAATTGTTTTAAATGCCAAACACTCTTTATACATATTACTGTCACTGTGTTAGGACAGAATACTAATAAGAAGCATCCTATTCAGATCTGTAAATATCGCCTTTGACATAGGGCTATGTTAAGAACAATATAGATGTTTTCCACATTCTGGTGGTGTTTAGTGTGTGTGTGTGTGTGTATT